AAAAAAAAATGTTAACGACTCATTTTATGGTCTGCTATCTGGCTTATTATGGAGAATGTTCTATGTGCTGAAGAGAATGTGAATTCTGTGTCTGTTGGATGGAATGTTCTGCATTTCATGTTAAGTCCATTTGGTCCTAAGATGCAGTTTAAACCCAGTATTTCTTTGTTGATCCTGTCTAAATTATCTGTCCTGTGCTGAGAATGGGGTGTTGAAGTTTTCAGTTTTTAATGGATGGGAGTCTATCTCTCCCTTTAGAGCTAATAATATTTGCTTTATATTTTTGGGTGCTCAGATGTTTATAATTTTAGATCTTCTTACTGAATTAATCCCTATTTCTCAAAAGAAAAAAAGGGACATAAAATAGCCAGTAAATAAAAAAAATGCTTAACATCACCAATCATTAGGGAAACGCAAGTAGAATTACAATGAGATATCATCTCACCAGGGTAGAAGGACTATTATCCAAAAATTAAAAAAAAAAAAATGGTAGCATAGATGTGAAGAAAGGGGAACTAACTTTTTTGGGGTAAGAATGTAAATTAGTATAGTCATTATGGAAAACAGTACATAGGTTCCTCAGAAAACTGAAAACATAAGTACCATATGATACAGTAATGCGATTATAGGGGATATATCCCAAGAAGAGAAAACCAGTATGTCAAAGAGATATCTGCGACCCAATGTTTATTGCAGCTACACATTATATAAAGATATATATATGTATATATAATTTGCAATATATTATATATAATTACATATATTATTCATATTAATTCATATTATTTACAGTAATTATATATACCTATTTGCAGTAATTATAATTATATATAAATATGTATAATATAATATAAATATCTATCTATAATTTGCCAGTGAGTACATGAACTCACCAGAGAGAGATAGAGAAAAGGAGAAAGAGAGAAAGCAAGAAAGTATCCCCTCACACCATGAGGGGTTTGGTCACACCACAATCCCTTCTCTCCTTTTGGAATTTTGGACATGTGTACACATGAGCCCATAATGTTTCTTAAGCTGTTGGATTTGGGACTTGAATCACAGCCAGCCATATAGAATTCAACAGACTTAACCACCAACCAGAGGCTAACCCCTCTAATAACTATAATATGGAATCAACCTCAGCATCCATCAACGAATGAATTAAGAAAATGTGATGTATATAAACAATGGAATACCATTCAGTCACAAAAAGAATGAAATTGGGAACCAGCAGTTAGCATAATGGCTATGTCGCTGGACTCCCACGTAGTCGACCACGGTTCGTGTCTCGGACC